CCCGGGGGGCCCCCCCGCCCGCCGCACCACCGGCGGGCTGTAGTAGATGCGGATCCCCGTCTTGTCGGGCGCCGTGTAGCTCCTCTGCATTTGTTTCTGGGCTGGGTCGTGCCCGGAGAGGCTGCTTGCCCGCGAGTAGTCCCAGGAGGAGATACCCAGCTTGTCTTTGGCCAAGCTGTCGGGGGCAGGTTGCTCAATATTCACATATGTACAGTTTGAGGGAGGAACGCCGGCGTTGTCCCGGATCCCGTTGGGCAGCAGCTGGGCAGCCGCGGACGCCTTTTTGCTCCGGGAATGGTCGCCCAGGCCCGGCGTGGTCTTTCCAGGGAGGTAGGGAGAACAGTCGAGCAAGCTTTCGAACTCTGACATGGACGAAACGGACTTGGTCCTGTGGGAGGAGAGAGGACGGGGCTCACAAGGGGACAGGGCAGGGGCTTGGGAGGCAGCCGGAGGCACCCTACTCCCACCGCAACGGGACCCTCCTGGCCACCCAGTCCTGCTCCTCATGGGAGCCCTTGGCCTCCAGGACAACCCTGGACCACAGCTGCATCTCTCCCTGGCTGCCAGGGCTGCGCAGCCTGGGGACAGCCCCATGCAGCCTCCTCCATGCCCCGGGGACCACGCAGGCACCAGCGCACTCACCTTTTGAGGTTGGTTCCCTTGGCTTCTGCTTCAGAGATTGTCTCTTTGTCTGTGATTTTTTCATTGAGAGCCTAGGAGGATACAGCAGAAAGCTCTGGTGTCAGCAAACGCAGGACCAAAGTACGCAGATGGGCTGGAGCAGGGGCTGCACCCTGCTCCTCTCCAGCACCACCACCTTCCCCCACGCACCCAGGCCCAGCATCCCGTTCCCAGGGCTACACAAGGCCACCTGTGCCCACATCTATTTTAAATCAACTTTTTATAACCCCACTGATGGTTCAGCCATGCTCTCCACCCTCTCCTTCTCCACAGTCCCTAGTGCTCACCCTTCCAACCTCATTTGCTGGCCAAGGGGATTCACGTGATCTCCCATCTAACCCTGAGCATAGACCTGAGCCCAGCGAGCACCCCAAGAGCCCTCTGCTTTCTCTTGCCCACCTCTTTCCAGTTGCTGCTGTGCTTCTCCATTTCAGAGTGCTTCAATGCCCATGGGTTGGATCCTTTCTGCAACTGGAGAACATGTCAGTCACTCAACGCGTGCAACATGTGCCCCTCTGGGCAAGCAAAAGCATTTGCCGCTTGGCCCCAGAGCGATTACACACTCACAGGGCACACGCAGGGGGCAAGCAGCAGAGGCTGGAGGACACGTTCACGATGGGGAACACCATACCTGGTTGATTTTGTTCTGCAGGTCCTTCGCTTGCTGCTCTGCCTGTTGCTGCTCCTCCTTGAAGCGGGCCAGCAGCTCCACCTTCTCCTGGTTCCAGTTCTTCTCACTGATCTGCAGCTGCTTGGTGAGGTCCATCACGGCACTGTAGGACTCGGCCAGGAGATGCTGGTGCTCCTCACGCTCCCTCTTCAACGCCACCTTCCAATCCGGCAGCGCGCGCTCCGTGATCCCTTTGCCTGCCTTCCTCTCCAGCTGTGGGGACACATGGGTGGCTGTGGGGGACCCATGGCTCCAGGGTGGTGCTGGACATCCCCAGCAATGGGGCAAGGCTGTGGGCATCCCGGTTCCCAGTGTAGGTCCTGTGCTGCCCAGGTTGGGCAACAAGTGTGTCCCCAAGGCCGTGTCGCACATCGCAGCTTGTCCGTGGGCACAGCCGCGCCAGGGTGGTGCTGGACATCCCCAGCAATGGGGCAAGGCTGTGGGCATCCCGGTTCCCAGTGTAGGTCCTGTGCTGCCCAGGTTGGGCAACAAGTGTGTCCCCAAGGCCGTGTCGCACATCGCAGCTTGTCCGTGGGCACAGCCGAGCCACAGCCGGCCCCGGCTGGCAGCCATGCCATGCCAGATGGTCACCCAGTGGGACACAGGATGATTGTCCTACCTGCTCGGCTGTGCTCTGCCTGCAAGCCTGCCTGATGGACCCAGCTCCTGGAGAGGGAGACCACTGCCTGCAAGGCCGGCAGAGCGGACCCCAAGGATGCTGCTGCTGGTGGTGGCCACCAGGAAGGCACCTGAACCTGGGGTGCTGCCACTGCGGCACCTCTGCTATCTTCTCGGGGGAAGACAGGGGTATTGGGGACCACCGCTGAGCTGTGCCT